GTGTGGTGTGTGTGTGTGTGTGTGTGTTCAGGTTACAGGACATTTAAGCAATTAGAAGAGAACTCCTGTTGCCTCACTCTGCACACACCATGTCCATTTTCAACAGCTGCCGAAAGCTGCTGGAGTTGAACCCGTTCCCCTCAATCCTTGAACCTGCTTTGTTGGGTCTGTGGAGTGGGGGAGGGGAGTGAGGGTACAGATTCCGAGCCTGAGAGTTTGGGCCGTTCCCTGGTATTGGGGGTGAGGAAGCCCAGTAGACGGAAACATTTTTGGTCATAGTTCATATTTACTAGCTTAAGGGAGAGGCATCATCATCCACTTTTGTGTGAGTGGCTTTCTTGATGAAATGTGCTGTGGCAAGCAGGGAGGAAGGATCTCCCGGTAAGCGCACGCACGCACGCACGCACGCACGCACGCACGCACGCACGCACGCATGCACACACTCATACACCAGCCACTCACGCACTTTGGACCATTCTGACCCTTTCAGTGAGCCATGAGGTATGTAGGGAGAATGCAAAATGGAACAATCCTCTTCTTCCAGAAAGAGTGCTCAAAGCAGACTAAATATATCCACGGGCTTCAGCCCGTGACTCATGATGCTATTTCCACATCTTTCACCTCCTTCTGCCTCTCACCCAGAAGTTTCAGATGCCAGTGCCTTTGGAAAACTCTCTCCAGTCAGGAGAGACATCCAAACCGGGCGTTTGGCTGGACTTGGAGGACAGTACGTTAAGTGTAATCATGTGTCAGACACAGGGAGACAGCTGGCACGCACATGCTCCCACTCATCTGGGGAAGCTGGAAGTTTTGATCTGGTAAAACACAGAGCACTACATACGGATGAGCAGAGGCTGGGAGGGGTGTGAGGCAGGGAAGGATGGAGGGGGGGTGCTCCATGAGTTCCAGGAACAGGCGCTAACATTCTGTAATGAGGCAGGGTAACTATTGGACACTGAACTGTGTATTTCAAATACCTGGTAGAGATGAGTTTGAGTGTTCCCACCATAAAGAAATAGTTTTGGAGTCAATGGACATGCCAATTACTTTGGTTTGATCATTACACATCGTATATGTGTATTGAAACATTGTACAGGGCCCCCAAACTCTGATCCGATGACTATGTGGGGATGAACAGAATTTTTTCCATTCTACTTTTATTTTTATGATGATAAAATATACTGACAAAAATACAATTTAGGGGGGACAGGAATCATTCTGCTTACAATTCCAGGTTACAGCCCTTCATCCCAGGGGCCTCCCAGGAGTAGCTGGTCACACCACAGGGAATGAAAATTTTCAACACACACACACACACACACACACACACACACACACACACACACACACACACATAATTTTTTAAGTTCCAGCCAGGTGGAGTCTGAGCACAGCTTCTGTGCCAGAGATCGGCTCCAGGCTAATTTTTGGAACAAAGGGTGGGTTTGTCATCTGGAAGCGATCGGATGGGGTGGGGGTGGGGTGTTCTAACTAACTTGTTGGCAAAGATTCTCACCTTGGGAAATCCTTCCTTTCCATGCTTGAAGTGTTCCCTGTATTTGCAAATCCGTAAAAGAACAACAAGCTGGGCGCCTTTGAAGACCACTCAGCACAGCCCGCTCAGCAGTAACAATACCCACCAAATGCTCACCTTTGCTCCCACATTCTTTTCTGGAGCCCAGAAAGTTAGACAAACCCATGGGACTACCTTGGGCCAGTGACACAAGCCAGTGATGTGTGTTACCTCCAGACGAACTGTTCTTTGGACTCTTTTTGCCTCAACTGGGCAGCTAAGGTCAGTCATTCAAAAGTCCCTCATGGTGCGGATTCAAGGTGAGGTCTCTGCCCCTCCATCCCCGACAGGATGTGCAGGGTGCTGAGGTGAGTGGAGAAGCATCCTTTATCAAGCCATGTTCGAGGATCGAGTCCCTCGATCTGAAGGTCTGTTTTGAATTGGAATAAGTGATGAGCTACCTAAAAGTATCCCCTTAGGAAGTTCACGAAAAGTGTGCTGCAGTGGGCTCCTTAGACTGCAGTCGTAACAGTTTCTACATGGAACGTTCTGCCTCCGGATCCGGTCAGTAACCAGGCTGACTGTATCCAGTAACTGACTTGTGGGGTACTCGGGTGCCATTGCTTCACTTCAAGCAACAAGAAACTGAGAGACAAATTCATTTCAATCCAACACACTTTATTTTTTTTTCAACTTTTTTTTTCCTTAATTTTCAGTGATCAAGTATTCATGGTGTTGTAAACCCAGGTTTATTAGTCTTTTGACAGTCAGTTTCATTAAACATAAGGAAGTAAGTCATACACCCCTTTGCATTGGCATAACAGGTCTCCAAATAAATATTTGTTCTAAAAACCACACAATCAAACGCTACATAATAACTCAAAGCAGCCTTTCATCACCAACATGCCTCTACAAAGTAACACAGACAGACAGACAGACAGACACACACACACACACACACACACACAAACACACACACACTACACTCTGCGGATGTCCTAATGCATTTGACACAGCTTCACGTTTCCTTATACTACAAAGTCAAAGGCTGACTTGGGTTTCATGCTCCTATATTAACATTTGGGTTTGGGGTAGAGGTATATATCTGAATAAAAATGCCCACTGTTACGTCTTACCCTTCAGTTTCCTTCAATCCACCCTTACCATTACTTCAGCTGTCAATAACATTCGCTTCATCACTTTTGACATGCGTAGTAGACGACCAGTAAAAGATCACAGCATCAGACTCCAATGCTAAAACCAAAACCAGACAAACAAACGAACAGCTCACAGGGCTTGAAGCGTCCTGGAGAAGATAGAAGGTTATCTAAATAGGTTTTTATCTCTCTGAAATTACTTTCAGCATCTGTTTTTTCTTGCTAAACTAAATATCGAAAGCACTGACTTCTCTGTAGGAAAGGATTCTCCCTTACACTTGTCATGTTTACGGTGTAGAGTTCATCGACTGTGGAAACGAGAGCCAAGAGGGCTTGTTCTCTGGGAAATGCCCAGGTTTCCAAACACACAGCACATGCAGCCCCTTGTCATTGAAACACTGAATTCAGAGAGGAACATGCAGCTACAAACACTTTAGCACCAAGGCATTTTATTTTTAATGTCGCCAAAGCCAACAGCAATAAGGTGAGCTTCTGGTCACCTTTGACCCTTCTTAAGGCTGAGTAAAAATGAAGTGCTTAAAATTAAACCTCTTCCAACAAGCACAAATCTGGTTGCAATGCAGCAGGAGGTCTTCGCTTCCGGCAGTACAGTACACTTACACCAGAGCTGTCAGTAAAGGTGAGACTGAAATGAGAAAGTGCACCCGAGTCCTAGCCTAGCCTCTCCTGCCAGCACCCCCCAGGCCCCCCACCCCCCACCCCCGCCCTCAGTGGAAGAGAAAACAGAGACATGAGAAGATTAGTCACAAGTCTGGAGAACAGAATTAGCGAGGCTAGCTTCCAGGCAATTTCTGGGGTTACAGTATTCGGGGTTTCTATCTGCTACTTAGAATACTCAGCATGTACCCTTGCAGCAATAGTTATCTTCACGTTCGGTGCCTCTAGGACGCGCGCGCGCACACACACGTGCGCATGCGCACAGACACACACACAGAGCCATGCACCCTAGGCAAGCGCTGTCCTTGCTCCGGGGCTCGCGGGAGAGTTCCCTCGGGGCCTTTGGATCCCTCACACTGTGCTGCGGTCCCTTGGTGCATACAGGGTTCTACAAAGCAGCCTCAAAAACACAAAAGAAAAAAGACACTTCCTGGCTGTAAGTTCACTGAAGACTGGAATTGTGGACCAAACAAGAAATTTTGGATGGTTGGTGAAAGGTAGGATTTCTGAGACCCTCGGGAGCCCTCTTCTAGAAACTTCTGCGGGCGCTGGCTTCCCTGAGTGCAAGGATGCATTTTAATGTGACAGCCACTTGAGGTAACAGATGGGGTCAGTGGCTTGCTGTGTATTTTCTATGTTTTCTAAGTCTTCATTAAGAATCTGAAAACTCATAGTTGTCTACAAGCAGAAATGTTAATCTACTCACGAGAGAAAAACATAAATAATCCCCAAAGCTCAGATGCAATCAATCAGAACTAACCTTTGTTTTCATAAAAATTCATTTCAGGAAATTCTGCTAAGGTCCTGATTAATACCTAAACTGGATGTGTTCTCAGTTAAACACAACCTATAAGTAAGCATTTGAGGTAAGTTATAACAAATGATTTTTAATGTCATACTTGGCTACATAAATGAAATTTACTCCAAAAAATCTAGTTAAACATTGAGTGTGGATGGCTCCCACAGGTATGTGCTATGCTTTTTTTCTATTTATAAAAGGAAATGTCTCTGTTTTGAAGAATGTCTCTATTCTTCCAAAACAATACTACATCAAAAAGTGACACGTGCTAACCTGCTTTAGAGTGGACATCTGGCCTTTGTTTACACTGAACTGTATTAAATACTACAAGCGAACAGTTTAGTCAGAGAGAGCTGTCTCAGCCCATCGCTGCCACTCTGCACCATCCTAAATGACTGACTTTCTGAGCCTCGGATTCAAATCTGCTTAAAAAACAAACAAGCATATAAAAATCTACTCCAGAGAAGGCTGGGGTACTGCTCCAGGGAGAACCTGTACTTAGCGTATGCAAGGTCCTGAGCTCAATCCAGCACCACTGAAGAAGAATGTGTTTGCATGTTCCTAAAGAGAGAAATGTGATGGGTGTTGGATGTTGGGAAACTCCTCTGCAAATAGTCACCACACCGAATGCTAATCTGTCTCCTCGCTTCCGTTTCTCCCCATTCCCCACAGCGTGCAGAATGACTTTTGATCGGTTTGTTTAAGAAAAAAAAATTAACTCCACCTCCAAGGAGCAAGACCTCACACAAAGGAAGAAAAATTATTAAAATATGTTCTTCAACACCCTCCTCCCTCAGCCCTTGAGAGTTTCTAAATCAATGAGCTAGATATTATATTTGCATATTAAAGCCAAACAACACATTAATTTATAGAGCTGAAGGCAGAACAAGGTGTCCTTTTGTCAAAACAAGTAATTCAAAGCCTATGCACAGAAAGCAGCAATTAAGATTTCTGTTAGGAGCTGTGACTACAAGTAACACAACCAGGTTACTAGAAACACAGAAGACCTCTTCCATATGTACAGCTGGGTGGTACTAACTACAAAATAGTCAACTCACTGGCTGTGTAATAGTCTGATGCTGCTGCCAGAGCCTAAAACATTTGGGGAGCAATCCTTACTTGTACCTAATCCAGAACTTCATTCCCTCCTGACTTTCACTACTTATTCTACATTCACCAACAGCACATTGATAACACATCTGCTATCCATAGTACCAGGAACTCTAGTCACATATGGTGGTGCACATCCCATGTCTTTGAGTTCTGGCCTCAGCATCTCAAAGGATCTCATAGAGCAGTAAATGGGATCAACACATAACTGGAACCCAGGCAGCAATTGCTGAACTGAATTCAAGGAAGAAGGGCATCAGGGCCTCTCTAATTACCCCTGGTGAATCCATCCATCTTAATAACAAACCAGGACCAATTCCACCAGAAGTCTCTTAATATAATGTCTAAATTATCACATAAAAATTAAGAAAGCACAACCTCTCCATAACCTACATATCTTAGCATCAACACCAAAGAAAACTGTCCCTTCTAAAGGCTTAAGATTATCCACAGATGGCTAAGAAGGACACTGAGTCCCCAAAGTACACCCTCAGCTAATCTGCACTATTTTATGAAAAGCTTTCATGTTTTTTACACTGGACAAAGTCTGACACACAGCAGTGACAGCCTTAGCTGAGCATCACTGCCCACCTCCACGAAAGCCAAGTCCAGGAGTCCAAGCAAAGTCCTTTTCATCTGGGCACTACTAGCTCTATTATGTATAGACATTATTCAGTAAAATAGTGAATGCTCCTCCACAAACTCCATGTCTCCAGAAAACCACTTGACTGTTGGGTGGCCTTGCTCCATGGGCAGGAAATCTATCCTGTACCTAGGAACATCTCCACAGTTCTACTTGAGTGACCTTCCAAGAATGTAGGTGCAAAGTCTGGATCACAGCCAGTCTGCCAGCCATCTCTCTTCCAGACGAGGAAACACTTCACGAGTTCACCTTACATGACATGAGTTGCTTGACAGAGAGGTCTCAATTTTATGACACATTGGGCCTTTCGGTCCCTTGCAGCCAGATCCCATGAGTTACCCTCTCCAGCAGGAAGACTGTCGAGAGCCCTCGGTCTTGAGACCCAGACACAAAGCCTCCCAAGTAGTGCCTAAGACAAGCGGTAGCGCTGTCAATGAATGACTGTCAACGAACCAAGGTGTCTTTAGAATCACTGCAGGAAGGATATGAGTACAGAGATGCAAAGGGCACTGTGAAATGATGCTAGCTCTGAGAAAGCAGGATTCAGGATGGTAGAGTCGTTTGCTTTACCATTCTAACTCATGACCTAATGGAGGATTGTATTCTGTGTTCGGCTGACAAATCTCCCATCTCCTCTGCAGTGATTTTCCTATCCTATAGCTTTCCCGACTGAACTATTCATTTTCTGAAGCAACCATGGCATTTCCTATACAGAAAAAAAAGCAGTCGAGATTTACCAGTATGTTGAGGGTATAAGTGAAATCCCCAGTGGGGTTCAGTCTTACCCTGGGAATTTCTTTATCAACTACTTTGAATGTCAAGGTAGTAGTAACTCTTAGCTACTTTTAGTGGGCCCTGAGGAGGTGAATTTTTACAGTCATTTCCTCAGATAAGAAAGCCATCATTTTCTTCCTTATTAAGCATCTCAAATTACAGTTTCTAGCCAGATTGTTTAGCACACTAGTTTTAAAGCCCCTTATGAAAGAATACTGTAGTTTAAATAGTCAAGCTATCAGATGTATGATTCAGCAGCCACTTGATCTACCTTATGATGGAGTAAACAGACTGAGAGAAAAATGTATCTTAGGAAATCCTGTTGTCTTTCATTACAATGCAGTATACAGTTCTTTGAAGCATTTGGAATTTTTCTACCTGATTGATAGGTCTGCTATGGCTTAAGATGCTATTAACAGTGCTTTAGGGAGCATTCAGCTTCCACTCATCAAAAACACATCTGCTTTGCTCTCTGAAAGCCGAAGAGGCATGGCACACTTCTATTCTTCCAATCCAGTTGCATAGTTGAGGCAAATTCTATTGTGCTTTGAAGCAGAACTCACAGTAGGTGTTCAAATCTAAAGAACTCTGACTTGCAAATGCAAAGTCGTGGTGGAGCTCACCTTTCTCTGGAGAGTATGCTAATGATATGCGTGGTCATAGCCTTTCCCATGGCTATGCATGGAAGGCAGGCTTCTACCAAACAGCAGCAGGAGCATTAAATGAACCCAGCAGAAGTGGTAACAGATGTATCTAAGCTCCTCCCTGGAAAAAAAGAAGGGAAAGGCTTCCAGTCTTGTTGAGGTATCCAGCCCTCAATCAGCCCTCATGGCTGTGTATACTGAGTGTCGTTGGTTTGAGGAGTGTTTCTGTAGAGGTTTAAGAAAAGAAAGTAAGAAGGCACAGGTGTTTCTCAGCTCGCCATATTCAATTCAACCAACAAAACAAGTCTTCCTTTTCCAGGCTTCAGCGGGGACTTCTACAGAGCAGAACTGGGGCTCTCGTCCTGCCCAGGGTCTGCAGAGGAACTTATTGCTTCTGAGAAAGGCCCAGGATAGGTCTGTGTGGGGCCTGGGAATCCCTTCTGCAGACCAGTTTCTTCGTGGAATTCCCCCTGGGTGCTGAAGGCTGGGCATGATGTAGTCCGGGCGTATTTCTCAGCTTTGTTGGGCTGGCCCACCAGCTCACTCACAGTGCTCAGCGGGAACTCTCTGCACCTCCGTCTCTGCTGTTCCTCCTCTTTGTACTTGATAGAGTACCAGGCCAGGAAAATAAAAATAAAGCCAACGAATTTGAGGCCAGCCGCCAAACCGAAGTAGACAAAACGAAACGACGTCACGTTGTACTCCCAGCAAGACCCCTGCACGCCACATTCCTGCTGCCAGAGCATACAGGTGGTGTCAATCACGGCTCCAAAGTAAATTGGAGTAGGAATGTATGCTGCAGTCATGGGGAGAAAGAGAAACACAAAGTTATAGCACGTCCCACAAGAGAAAACAGATCTGTCATTAACAAAGCTTGTCCAATGCCAAGAGAAGGATTCTTGTTTAATTGAATTTTCTTAAAGACATGTTCATCTAATTGCAATTTACTTATGAAAATAAACAGCAAACACTTAGCATCTTTCACTTTACAACTCAGGCTATCTCTGTGCTGATTAGGTTGATAAAAATAGCTACTGCTTTCCATGGTTCCCAAGTTCTTACACTGGACACTTTCTATAAAGTTTTGACAGTGAGACCTCAGTAGAGTCAAAAGAATTTTCTGTTGCCAAAAACGCCAACACAAAATCCTTTCAAACTTAAAATTCTTGTCCCCTTTATGTCAGGTTGGAGCAGGATAGAAAGACAGGGAATGTTAAGGGAACATGGGAATGGAAAGAGACCCTTCACCCTGGAGTCTGGTTGAAGTCTCTTGAAGCTGAGAGTCAAGAATTTTAGCACAAAGGGCTGGGGAGGTGGCTGTGTATCCTCATGGACAGGAATCCAGATCTCTAGACCCCAATGAAGATCTCTGTGAACTCAAAACCAGCCTGGTCTACATAGTAAGATTCAGGCCAGTCAGGACTATGTAGTGAGGCCCTGTGACAATAAATACATATATAAACAATAAAGTAGAGAAACAATTGAGGAAGATGTCCAGATGTCAACCCTTGGCCTCAACAGAAGTCTCACACCCCTGCCAGCAAAACACACACACACACACACACACACACACACAAGTTCAGCACAATTAACAAAATAAACTGTAAAGATTGTCTACAATATTCCTTTTTATAGGGGTATTTCAAAAAAAAGTTAACATAGCAATAAAGCATGCAAAATGTCCACATGATAAGGACTTTTCTCAGCTGTACACCTATTTTTTGTTAGTTTGTCTGAGAGTATCACAGACAAGATCTCAATGACCTTGTTTATAGTCAAAACACATCTTAACTCCATGGTGATCCAGTCTAATGAGGGGTTTCAGCACAACCCTGTGACTTACAGTTTTATCTTATCAGCCTACAGTCCCATCCAATTCACCCAATTCATTTACTGAAATAAAAAAAATATTTTTTAAGAAGTTTCTTAGATGCTCTTTAAACACAGTAAGTTCAGAAGCCACCAAAATTGGATATATGGCTACTGGTAAGACACTAGATTGCAATGCTCTCCTGAGAAGCGCAGGACCACACGCAGGTGCATACTGTCTTTGTCCTAAGCGCCTCCCACTAGCATGGGCACGTGTATGCTCAAGTATGATCGAGTGTCCACTTAGTCAACGCTACTGAACTTCCTACTGTCTCACCCTGAAATGCTTCTCTGTAGCTCAGTGGAGAACCCCACCTCTCCTGAGTGGGGGTCCCTGACAGAGCAAGCTTGGCAGGCTGCTAAAGGATAGGGCTGCACCTTCCACTCAGACCCACTGCAGTCGACAAGCCCCACTTCAAATGGTAACTTCACAAAAGTATTTGGTGTGTGGAGAGAACTGTGGCCTACAATCCATCTTTGAAGCTTCTCAAAGATCCAGGAGGAGTAGAAGCTCTGTTGTCTGGGCTGTGTGTAATAGGCACCTCTTTCAATTCCACAAGAAAGCAAACTTAACTAGATAGAATTCCACCACACCATTTGCCAAAAAATGTGCCCCCACCTCTAACTCCCCCATCTGGCTAATGCCATTTCTCCTTTCTATCCCTGCATCATATGGACAGCACTCTGCTGCCACTGTGTCTTCCGGGGACCTCCGCTTGATCAACTACCGAAGAGCATTGACTTAAAGCCTCTGCCACTCAACACCCCATAAATCCCTTGATACAGAGCCTATTCCTTTCTGTGCTTGGCATCCTAAGAACTTGTGTGACAGTCCATGACTGCTCAGTGCACAGAGGTAAGACCTGGATAGGTTGAAGCAGGGAAGGAAGAAGGAAAGAAAAGAAAGCGGGATGAAATGGAAAAGGACATCTAGGGCTGGGTGGTGGCGCACGCCTTTAGTCCCAGCACTGGGGAGGCAGAGGCAGGTGGATCTCTGCGAGCCCACGGCCAGCCTGGTCTACAGAGCAAGTTCCAGGACAAGGGCTACCCAGAGAAACCTTGTCTCAAGAAAGAAAAAAAGAAAGAAAGAAAGAAGGAAGGGAGGGAGGAGGAAGGAAGGAAGGAAGGAAAGGAAAGGAAAGGAAAGGAAAGGAAAGGAAAGGAAAGAAAAGAAAAGAAAAGAAAAGAAAAGAAAAGAAAAGAAAAGAAAAGAAAAGAAAAGAAAAGAAAAGAAAAGAAAAAAGAAAAGAAAAGACACTTAACAGCTCATGAGTCTGTGAATGGGACATTTTAAAGTAATTTCTAATTATTGAAAACAGGGTCTAGGGGCTGGAGAGATCGACTGCTCAGCGATTAAGAGAGGTGACTGATTTCCCAGAGTTATGACGTTGGTTCCCAGTACCCACATAGGCAGCTCACAACCACCCTCACTCCATCTCGGGGTATCCAGTGACTCTGGCCTCCTCTGTCTGGCATCTGTACTCCCATGCACATATAAATGCACATAGTCAAAAACAATAAAGTAAATCTTTAAAATGAAGCCTACTGGTAAAATCAAATGGCAACTTTCTTAAAAGGACTAAGGAGTGTGTGGCTTTGAAATTTGGGGAAAATCAAATTTGGGTGGTTATCTTAACTACACTTCTGTACACCCAATATAAATGAAGACAGAATCGTGCTAGATAACAAGTGCCAGGTGGTGTTCTTTCCTGGCTTATTAATGATTCTGCAGGTGACTCTCCTTTACCCCAAATTCATGTCAAATAACCCAGCTCCTGTCAGAGAGGAGCAGAGCCAAAATAAGGATTTTTTTTTCTCTTTTTCAACTCAATCATCACTTTGATTGACAAATTCCTGTCTTTGAAAACATCTTTTTTTTTAACCAGGCGTGTGGCACACAACTGTAATCTCAACATTCCGGAGGAGGAGGAGGCTGGAAATCACCATGAGTATGAAGTGTACCTTGGAAATTCCAGGCCACCTAGGGCTATACACACAGCAAGACCCAGTCATAAAGAGATAAATAAATGCAACACCCTGAAATAACAACAAAAGCGGCACTTTTTAGCTTAGGGCAAAAAGCACAAGGCATAATTCTTAACAGTGTGCAACTGTATTGAATGCTCTGTAACCAACATATTCTAACAACAGAATCTTCAAAAACCTCCAGAGGCCGATTAGCACCAAACAACGAACCACACCGGGGGACTTTTTCTGCGGGAGGTTATTGGACTCGGCGATGGCCTTAAGGCCATCAACCCTGACTCACTGCACACAGAATTCCAGGGAGTACGAATGTTTCAAAGGAGAGGAAGGTGCCATTTGAAGAGATTTCACCCTTCAAAACTGAAATGCGAATAATTAAAAACAAACCAGTTTTTTTCCCTTTGTCCCATGGACAATGGTACTGATTAGTCCAGGGAAACCCCAGCTGAAGAAAATGACAGCCTCCACTTAAGGGGAACTAAGCTTGAGGAAGTCAATTGACGGATTGTCAAACAGATGAGGCGGGGCAGCTTCCAGGTCCGTTTCCCACTTAGGGTCCCAAGACTTCAAGGAGTGATGCGTTACCTTCCTGCTCTGTTCACACTGACACCCACAAGGCTTTCCTTGTTGGGGTGTGAAGCCTCTCTGTACTTTTGTGACCATTCTTTTTTGCTTTTTAAGATCTTTTCCTCAGAAAACTCTACAGATGTACACTTCAACCAACCCAATAAAATTACCCTAAAGCAGTAAGAAACAGAAAGGGTCACAAGTAATATACACCCCGGTTTCTTTCACATTGGTGTCAAAAGGCATCAAGAGACCAAAAAGCCAGGATAACAAAGTCATTACAAATTTCTTGATTTCTTATTTCTTACTGTATAAAACTCTAGGGGAATTTTGTACTAGTTTGTATTCAGAGTCAAAAAGAAACTAGCCTAAAATCCATCTTCTATTGTTTTGTCCAAAGACCTTGTCAACTTCTAGTTCAAATCAAATAATGAGGAAGTGTAGACGTCCTCTCAACCGCAAACCTGTCTAATTCTACCCCAACGACACCAAGTGACTCAGTTTGCATTTTTAAAGGACCATAGCATTTGCCTGCTACAAAGAGGAATTTAAGGCACAATTGGGAATTCAGGGACATACCAAGTGTTCGCAACAAAACAAACTGCATCCCCAGAGCAAAGGGTCTTTCTTCATCTTCCACAGACCTAGAGGGAGGAGAAGGAAAAAATGGTTTAAAACAGTGGTTCCAAGAAAATGCTGGTAAAATCGAGCCTGCCTTAGGCAGAGCCATATACTAGGATGCTTTCCCAAAATATTTAATCCACTAGAATGCAGTAACAGTCACCAACCAAGACTCCCTGAGTAAATCACAGATGAGACATGTCTCCACCAGAGGCTGATTAATTCTGTTTCTGTGTGAATAATGGAGAAGGAGCAAGGTTCTTGGCTGAAGAGATGGGGGCTCCTCTAAATGAGCACCCCAAATCCCTTCTACTAAGAAAAAATTGTAAACATTTATCCTAACCATTGTAGTCTCTTATTCTCTTTCTCTGTCTGTCTCAATGTTCCAGAATTGAAGGTGTATTCAATGAAAATCATTTTCATAATTCTTACGAGATGCAGGGGGGGGGGGTGTCCTAGCTAATTTTATGTCAACTTGATACAAGCTAGAATCTCAAAGGAGGGAACCTCAATTAAGAAAATGCTTCCATAAGATCTGGCTATAGGGCATTTTCTTAATTAATGGTTGTTACGAGAGGGCCCAGCCTATTGTGGATGGTACCATCCCTGGGCTGGTGGTCCTGGGTGAGGAAACCATGATGAACAAGCCAGTAAGCAGCACCCCTCCATGGCCTCTGCATCAGCTCCTGCCTCCAGGTTCTTGCCCTGTTTGAGTTCCTGTCCTGACTTCCTCCAATATAATGTAGAAGTGTAAGCCAAATAAAGCCTTTCCTCCCCAACTTGCTTTTGGTCATGGCATTCCATCACTGCAATAGAAATCCCAACTAAGACAAAGTAAAAGCAGAAATTACAGGCATACTCACATGCACATACACATATACACACACATAAATGAAGAGCCAGAGAAATGAGCTTATTCAAGCCATGTTCCCCCTCACCTAAAATTGATGTTCTAAATAATTCTCATGTGGGAGGAAGATTGGAACCTATTGATTTTGCAATTAGCAGAGATTAAAAGACCCTTCTTCAGAGATTTGCTGTTAGAGGCCAACTCATAAATTGCCATGCTTGAACACTTCGGAACATTTGTAAAGTGAAGCGGCCCTTATATAATCTACTTAACACTTTTTTTATAGAATTACAGTGGGAAAGAGTGAGATGTTTCAGATAAGTCAATTTACTAACGGGCCACACAGTTTCCACATGATGGAGTACTTTGTGCTTTTTATCTCATCCACAGAGGATCTAGGTGCGGGATGGGAAATACTTCCAGGCCCAGGGCCCTTACTGTCTTTTCCTCATATTCCAATTGTCTCATAGCAGTTTGCCAGCTCTGCATACATGGTCTCCATCAGCATCTCCTGATCATGAATAAGCCTGTAGGCCTTCTATGCCCTGTTTTCTATCCACTCAGGAAATGTCTCTCTCAGTGTCCAATGAGAAAGAAACCAGAGTGTGTGAGGGGTACAGGCTTCTCACTCTCAGTGAGCACGGTGCTTCTGGCCAGGTAGCCAGCATTATGACCTTGGAGAAACCAGGAAGAAGAGCAAGGACTGACTCTCTTCCTCCTGTGTCAGTCACTGAGCCACATCCCTGCTCCCCTCTAGCCCACAGGGTCGCTCTTCCGGCTTTACCACAGTATCCTCTCCTACCTCTGCCCACCACAGCCTATAACAAATAGATCTGACTGTACAGAACCAAAGTAGCTTCTATGTCCTCTCCTAGAGGGAAAAAAAAAAAAAAAAAACAGGATCTGCAATACAGCAATGAAATCGCAGCCTGACTGGCAGCTCACATTTCCAAGTTCCAAGGAGCTGTCCTTGATTCAGCTCCAGGACTTTATACAATAGGAAAATTAATGAACTCAGCATTTTGAAATGCAAACCCAGCATAATCCCTCATTGATCCCAGAGGTGCAGTATTAACCATCCACGAGGGTGGAGGTGATACCCTTTGCAATATTCACGAACTAGCCACTTTGCCAAACTATTTCCACCCACCTCGAGGGTCTGGCTTCTTGGCGCTAACCCAGAGACAGCCTTCAACTCATGAAGTCTAACCTCATAGCACAAAGACTTCAGACACTAAAAGCACTGGAAAGAAAGCTTGGTAAATAATAGGAATAGAGCCCAGCTGAAAAAAAGAAACTTCTAGAACAGGCAATGGTTCAGCCATCTTTTTCTCTCTGGTTTAAAGCTCTCCCTTAAACCGGCAGGAAAGGTGGGGTGCCCTCCTGCGAGCTACTCTTTCTATCCCCCAGTTTGCTTCGCTTCACTCGTCCTACGGTGCGCTCCGCAGCATCTGCTGGGTGCCGTCCTTACCTGAGTGTTACTATAATGGCTGATGGCTGGGCACAGGCTGTGATGAAGGTAACTATGAAAAGGAAGACCAAGAAGGGGATGAGGGTATTGCAGGTGCGTTTGCACTTCCCAGACACAGCGTAGCCGTTCTCATTGAGATAGGTTTTCACAATGACCACGCGGAGCTGGCTGCGCTGACCCACCGTGGGCGGGGTGATCACTTGTCGGCTCTGGACGCAGGCGCACTCTGTGTAATTCCGAACCTGAGTAGCAAACAAAGATTAATGGTATGCCCATCAAAAATAAAACGTGGAGGTGGAATGTTGACAAAGTCAGAGTGTTAAAAAATAACTGTAAGATTTTAAATGCACAATAATGTACACAAAACATTTGGTTTCTTAACAGCAATAAAGGGTCAAAGTTTGCCTTAATAATAACAAAACCTGCTGGTCAGATGGTTTAAACCTAAACTTCTCCAAGCTTTAAACACTGAATTCTGTGACATTTACATGCCATGTGCTCATTTGGGGTCATAAATACACATGGCTTTGATCATTGTTGAACTTGTAGACTTTCCAGTTAGGGAAGGCCCTAAAACAGGAGCCAGATGATTTTTATTTGTGCTCACCAGAGTGCCTAGCATAAGTGTGAGCACACAATGAAACCTAAAATAAACAGTGGTTAAACTCCTAACACAAGTGTGATCGCTTCAAACACGCCAAGTGATGTGGCCTCAGAATGATGGCTTCAGTACCAATGATGATGAACTTGCCTTTGGCTATTCCAGTATAAACACTCTCAGTCCCTTCAACAAGCTAGTGACCTCCACGAGTATGAATGGAGAATCCATCACTCCAGTCTGTCCTGTAGCCTCGGCTCTGTAGTGCTCTGGGCTCTGACAGACTCCAGCTGTCTAAAAACCCCTGCTAGGCCCAACATCACTTGTTCCTTTTCCCCCCACACATATCCGTGAGTCCCTGTTGATGTATGATATGATATGCCATTAGAGGGCACTGAAGACAGAGGAGCAAAGGAAACTAAATCTTCTCCAGTAACTTCTCAAACTTCTACTGAACACAAACACAACGATGAAAATAAAACCCCTCTTGTTGGTGAGTACTCAGTACCAAACAAGCTAACAAATATTAACGTGCTCAATTATTTCTTTGCCTAGTATCTTCCTTTTCTCACTCATGGTGAGTGCTGAAAACAGCAGTAAGAACGGGTTGCCAGGGGGTCGTCCATTTAAGCAGGAAGGACTTCCCAAACAACACCCTAGGGATCACTGCCAAGAAACAATCTCAGGAGCTCAATAGGGTCACCTCCACAGCCCAATAACGACGTCATGTGCAACAGTCATTTCCAATTTATCCTCTGGTTCCAAACTCAGAAAACAAAAGTGGTACCCCCAAACTCTAGGTCAACGGTATAGTCTCTGAAATCTGCACAGAATGGGCAAATGCATTTTAATCTTTAAATTAGGGCAATCGACGCCAATCTGTTCTCATGCCAACAGCCAAATTGGGCTCAGTAAAGAATAGAGTAGAATATAAAAACCTTCTCCCACAGTATTAAAGCCTATTTATAATTCTCAGGGAAGAGAATTCTCAGAATAGACTATTCTTCAGCTGACAGAAATATCTTACTCTGCAAGTTAAGGGGGCGGGGGAGGGGAGCTGACATATAGTCTTATGAAAAATGGGCATCACCCATCTTCACAGACACCAGTTAAAGGACCAGCCCCCACAGTCTCTAGTCTCTTTTTTCAGCACCAACTCTAGTCACCTTGACCTTCAAATCTGTTACAAAGACCCTGCCAGAGGACCAAATGGGAAGCCCGGAATCCAACCTTATCAAGTTTCCCTGAGTTGGCACGGGATGTCAAGTAGGAGTCAGCTGATGAGGACCAGAACTCTACACCCCGATTCTCCCAGCACCCCTGGCAACAGTGATAGCCCTGCACAATTTGCCTCTCATGGGGTGTTTTTCAGAGTCGCTTCAAAGGCTATTCGGAGTCTCATGAACAAGGGAACCTGAAGTCATCATGGGTGCACTTGAGTCCCATCACATTCCGTCTCATGATGTTGAATTAATTAGAAGAGAGGCTTCTGCAGTATACTTACCCCGGTGCTAAGATTCCCACTATTAACACAGCCAGCCAGGCATGGGTTGAAGTATGTGATTCCATCTGATCCGCAGACTGGCTCATATTCATGTATTTTACAACCACAATTAACATTGCAGCTTCCTGTCAGATTCCTATGGGGCATGGTGAGAGAAGGCCTGAGAGAGAGAGAGAGAGAGAGAGAGAGAGAGAGAGAGAGAGAGAGAGACATCAAGCAAGGCTGAGAATGAAACTAAAAAGAACATTCTTGGTAGCAAGTGAATTTGCTTTAGAGACGATATTCCCATGAATGGAACTTACGGTGCCATGAAGTAGTCGCCCTCTATAGTCATTTCCAATAAACTTGCAACAAAATGTAAAGAAAATATTTCTTTATTATTTATAATAAATAATTATTTATTATAGATGAAATTGATTTAAAATCAAACTATCTGCCTGCCTCAATCTCACTGTCCACTTTGATTCAACAGACTGACCTTATGTCTGAGTTAGTGATTTCGACCCTCATAGAACTCCTCACTGGAAAACACTTGGTTCTGTGTCTTAACAAGTAGGAGTCGTGATTTATTTCATTTTATTTTATTTTGGACCTGCTGGGGATTAAACCCAACAATTCAGGCATATGAAGCCTAACTCTAGCACTGAGGTATATACCCACCTTAGTATATATATATATATATATATATATATATATATATATATATATATATATATACAAATTTGTGAGGTATATATGTGCTATTTCAATACACATATATATTACATAATGATCCAACCAGATTAATTGCCATATCTTTCATCTCAAAATTGATTGAGTTTTTAAACTATAAAATAGAGAAAATGTGTTTCATTACTGATTCTTTAAAATCATTGTGAGCACATAGACATGAAATCCATCCACTAGCCACAGTTATCAGCGTGAGTTTTGTTTATCAAAGACTTGACTTATTCTAGAATAATTTACCAAAGGAACACAATAATTCTAGAAAACCAAGAGGAAATGATTTGCAAAGGTGGCTGATTAGGAACCCTGTCACTAGTTTGACAGAAATAACCAAAGAAGAAAGATTAAGAAGAAATCACTAGAAATGCCCAGATGCAACTCACAGTCAAACATGCTTCCCCATGAAGTCACTGTGCTGGATACAAAGAAATGATGCACTATGAAAGTTCAAGAAAAATCCATTCAAGGAAAATCCATTCAAACCATAACGATAAAGGGAGAAATACGACATGTAAAGGCACAAAGGTGAGGAGAGGATGTAAAATGGCAGGGAAAGAGGGGCAGGCAGGTTCCCCCCCCCGGGGGGGGGCACAGAAGAACAAGATTGACTCTAAAAAGCTCAAAAGCAAGGCAGTATTACTTGACATGTTGTAACCATTCTCATGCAGTAGTGGTAAAATACTGTTCCTAAAGCTAACTAGGTCAGCAAGGGCAGATGTTTCATGCATCTGTCCCTTTATCCATTGTCCATCCATTCAACAAATATATCAGAATGTCTGGTATGTGTCAGGACTTATTCTTCAGTGAATATGTTAGTATAACTTACGTAGTAGCACAGCCCACCCACCCAAATGCATTGCTCTACACACTTAGCATGTATACTCTTTATTCTATGGCTTCTCACACTGTGATAACTTAAATTGAATGAAGAACCAAATTCAAACCAATACTACAGTTATATCAAGAAAGCGCCCTAACAAAGCAAAAGCCAAATAAATTCTGTCCTCCCATCTCGTCACTCCATAGAAGAAATTTAGCTCAATACATAATCATTATATTTATAAACTCTTAGTCTCAAGACATTTTAATATTTGAATATACCCCAAAGTAATTCTAAATGAGTGGTTTGTAACAGGGACAATCTTATTCTCCCACCCAGGGGACATTTAGCAATGTTGGGAGACAGTTTTGTTGTCCTAACTAAAGGGTGTAGTGGACATCTGTTAGTGTTATACAAGGATACCTCCAAACACAGTACAATGCTCCAGATAGCTTCCCCCTTCCACAAAAGGGACTACCTAGCCCAAATGTCAATGGCGCTGTGGACAAGACTTCAGACCAATAAGCACATTCTGCAGACGATGAAGTGAGGTTTTAGAAGCCCAGTGCCATGTTAACTACATACAGTGGACATGCATGGACATGCAGGACAGTAGATTCACCTCACCAACACTTTAAGAACTAAGCTACAAGCCACAACAAGATAGAAGAGCTTTTCCAATCTGTGTGCTTAGTCTAAAACTGACAGATGTCAATACCAGGCCAACAGCTGCTATTGCTGCTAGTTAGAAGTTGCTTGGCATTTCCCTTCTGACAGCCTGCTCTGCCTTCATGTGTAACAGCCACACATTACAAAGGCCTGTCTAAAGCCCAGCAGTGGTGGCACACACCTTTAGTCCCGGAACTCAGAGGCAGAGGCAAGAGGATCTCTGTGAGTTCAAGGCTAGCCTGGTCTACAAAGCAAGTTCCAGGACAGCCAAGACTGCATAGAGAAACCCTGTCTTGAAAAACAAAATAAAAAACAACAAAAAAAAGTAAACAAAGTCTATCACTTAAGAGAATGTCCACTCAAGAGGAATAGCCTTAAGCCAACATCAACATATGCTTTAAACACATAAACAAGACCTTTCCTCTCAGACCTGTCTTGTTGGCTATGTCTGTTTTTATCTCGGCCTCTATTTCAGAGAAATAATATAATATTAACAAGCTCTAAGAAAAAATTGAATTTAGGGGCCTGGAGAGGTGGCTCAGAAGTTAAGAGCACTTGCTGCTCTTCCAAAGGACCCAAGTTCGGTTCTCAAGACCCACATCAGGCAGCCAACAACCACCTCTAACTCTTACCAAGGAATAAGATGCCTTCTTGTTGAAGAATGTTATTTTAAGGTATGTTACTTTTGTTTATGTTGCATTTGTTTAACTCTGTGAAGCAGTATTATTGTGCCTGTCTAAAGCACCTGATGGTCTAATGAAGAACTGAATGGCCAAAGCAAGGCAGGAGAAAGGATAGGCAGGGCTGGTAGGCAGAGAGGATAAATAGAGGGAGAAATCTGGGAGGTGAGAAAGAAGGAGCCAGAGAAGGAGGAGGACTCCAGGGGCCAGCCATCCAGCTATGCAGCAAGCCATGGAGTAAGAAACAAAGAAAGGTGTACAGGAATAGGTGAGGAAAAGCCCAGAGGCAAAAGATAAGTGGGATAATTTAAAGTAAAGAAAAGTTGGCAAGAAACTAAGTCAAGCTAAGGCTGGGCATTCATAATTAAGAATAAGCCTCTTTGTGTGATTTATTTGGAAGCTGGGTGGCGCCCCCCCCCCAAAAAAAAGAGAGCCAAAACAACCAACAACAAATTGGCATACCAACTTAGGGCTTGAATATCGATCTAGAGCCTGAGAAAGCTGAACAACAACAAAATATAAAGAGTATAGGGCCCCTCGAAAAAGTAAAAACAAACAACACCACCTTCTGGCCTCTGTAGACACCCCACATTTGTGACATGTACTCAATGGACACACACACGTAAGTGAAAGGAGACAGAGGTGGTGAGTTCAACACCAACCTGGTCTACATAACAATTTCCAGGCCAACTCGGACAACATAGTGAAATCATGTCTCAAGTAACAACAGCAATAATAGTAACAACAATAATGAAAATACTTTTAAAAAGAAAATAAATTAAGGCAACAAATAGAATTATCGTGAAAAGAAGCAGGTATTCATGAAAGAGTCATTAAGAGGAAAGGTCACCACAGAATGAAAGAGAAGGGAGCCAACAGGGCTCAAGCCTCTGCACTGGGCTGATTTGCAAAGAATCTTTGTTTTTTCTTACTGAAAATAGAAATTTTTTTCTCACATACTATATCCTGAATTTGGTTTCTCCTCCTTCCACCCCTCCAAGTTCCTCCCCACCTCCCCTCCCATCTGGATCCACCCCCTTTCTTTCTCTCATTAGAAAATAAACAGGCTTCTAAAGGAGAATTATAAAATGAAATGAAACAAAACAAAAATCTAACACATCCGAATGGGACAAAACAAATAAGCAGAAGGAAAAGAGCCTGAGAAAAGGTGCAAGAAACACACCCACTTGTTCACACGTTTAGGAATCCCACAAAAACACCAAACTGGAAGCCTGTATGGTTGAGAGAGAGGGAGAGAGAGAGGGAGAGAGAGGGGGGAATAAAAATAAAAAGAATCATTTGTAAGAAGAATGTCTTGCTTGATTGTCAGTAACTCACGAGAACATGGACTGTTACTCTCACACAAGGCGCCATCCTGCTTCTCTTCTAAGATGAGATCAAACAGGGCATGTTCAGCACAGTATGGCCGGATCCCACACTGTGTTCTAAATAGTGCAAGGGCTAATCTCAAAGCACTAAGAAATCCCTCACTTGTCAGGAGTGAAGCCATAACGGGAACAGAAGATGCACAAGGACCACTTAGGGTCCACTGCACTTATTGGCACAAAGGGACCGGGTACCATCTTTCTTGCCTTCTCGGGCAAGACAGCCTTCTAAATGAGATGCTCCTGTTAACTCATGAGTCAATGGAGGAGGATCTCATTTTGTTGTTTTTGAGACTGAGTCTCATGTAGCCCAGGTCTTGACTTCACCATGTCACTGAGGATGACACCCTGAACTCCTGATCCTCCTATATCCACCTCCCAAGAACTGAGTAGTAGGTGAATGGTCCCTGTGCCCAGTGGGTCAATGTAAATTAACTTCAAGTGAGGCACAGGACATTAATATCAAATATTTTACAACTCCAAACTGCTAGCATGAGCTAGAAAAATGGAAGGGGTCTCCAAGATTATCTAGCAATGTTGCTAGCTTTAAATACTAGGAAACTATGTGAGATATAATGATCTGCCCTGAAATACCAAGACTGTCCTTAAGAAAAGCAGCCCTAGAGAGTCAACAACAAAATAAACATAAATAAATTAAAAATAACCACACTGGCGCCGGGCGGTGGTGGCGCACACCTTTAATCCCAGCACTCGGGAGGCAGAGCCAGGCGGATCTCTGTGAGTTCGAGGCCAGCCTGGGCTACCAAGTGAGCTCCAGGAAAGGCGCAAAGCTACGCAGAGAAACCCTGTCTCGAAAGACCAAAAAAAAAAAAAATAATAATAATAACCACACTGGCTAATCTTTATCAATCAATGCCTA